AAGTTCTTGGTTGAAATGTATTTGGAATTACAGGGCAGGGAGGTGCATCTGCGGGACTCCCCACCCCATGGAGGCCTTACCTCCGTGCAGAACTCCCAATTATCACACGTTCGTGATGACTGAGCCCAAGGGAATTAAGATGGACTTTGAAGCAGCTTTTACGGTACACTTCATCGACATTTGAGTTTTCTTTAGTTCTCATTAAAAGGGCCACTTTCTTCTTTTCATTGATATATGTCTTTGTGTCCTTCATTTCACACTCTTAAAAAAAGTTCTCTCATCAGATCAAGTGCAAAAAAAAAAGGGGACGACATAATAACCGTCATAATCATGATAACAACAACAACAACAACAAACAACTGGTACTGTGGGTTTAAATCTTTTTTAAAGGAAGGTTTTCTCCTCTATAAAGCATGGTCCTCCAATTTAGAAAAAAAAAAGGCTGAGGTTGAGAATGGGGATAATAAAAATGTTTCTAAGGTTACATTACATCAAGACAGGCTTAAAAAAAAACTCTGTTTGTGATGAGCTTTCCTCTCCCATCTGGATTTCTCACAGAGACATTCAATAATCACTTTAGAGCTGTTCACATGAGGAAATGAGGACACTATCTTTTCTAGTAAGAAGTGAGGGTGTGACAGGTTTTGTTATTGGAATGAGGGAGAACTTCGTAAGATATTCTCTTTCTTCGCCCCTGCAAACACAGTATCTTTAAAACCCCCTGTCTGAAAGCGTGACTTGTCTGTTGCCTTTTCACTCTGGTCAGTGATTCCAAGAAAACACCATAACATGTTTCAATAATTCTGACCAACCCAAGAAGATTTTTTAAAGTTAATGGATCATTCTTTCTCCTGAACACACATAAAAACACGTTTGTGCACGCAATTCCAATTTAATGAGAGAAAGAAAGAAAAGGAAGGAAGGAAGGAAGGAAGGAAGGAAGGAAGGAAGGAAGGAAGGAAGGAGAGGGAGGGAGGAAGGAAAGAAGGAAGGAAGGGAGGGAGGAAGGGAGGGTAAGGACGGAAAGGAAAGAAGGAAAAGAGGAAAAAAGGAAAGGAAAAAAAAAATCTCCCTCTTTAAAAGAGGGGAGGGGGAGTAACTTCGAAACATTGAAAATTCTCCTATTCATATTAGGAGCTTCTTTTTTTTTTTTTTTTTTTTTTTTTTTTTTTTNTTTTCTTGTTTGCCCTTTGAAAAGGGGTCCTGTCACTCAGAAAGGGGCTGTTTCTTCAACCTCCTCCCCATCCACCCACCAGCCGGCCCCCTCAGCCTCGCAGCCCGGCCCCGGCCCACCCCGCGGCCCTCCCCGCGCACACACAGTTTCTTCCAAGTGCTTTTTCAAGTAAGAGCCGGAGAGATGAGAGGTGCGGCTTCTCCAGCGCGGAACCAGACAAGTACTTCTCATCCCGGCGGAGCGCGGTCCAGCGCGGCCCGCCCGAGGCCCCGCCGTTCCTTTTATGTCAAGAAGCCCTACTGCCCCCCGGGCTGGCCGCCCCTCCCCGCCGCGGGACAGCTACGCGGTGCTCGGGCCCGTCACGTGGCCGCGCCCCGCGCCCCCGCGGAGCCCTTTGTTAAGCCCTTGGGTCCCCACGCGCGGCCGCCGCGGCTGGGGAGGTGCGGCGGGGTGGATGCGCCAGGAAGACTATCGGGCTACGCTGGCTGTGCCTCAGCTCACCATACAGCCCCGAAACACCTAGGGCGGAGGCCCCAAGCACTTGGCAAATCGAGATTCCCAGTCCTTTGGGGAAAACGGCCCTAGGCCACCTCCAGTGTTTCAAACCAAAGGCACAAAGGGGGGCAAGGGGGCCAGTGGAGGGCGCGCCTCTGCACAGGGGTGTAACCACTGGGCTGACTTCCCTCCTCCTTTCCATTCCGCCTCACCAGTTCCTCGCCTTTTTTTTTTTCTCTTCTCTTATCCTCTGCCACGCTCAGAGGCTCAGTGGGTGGGAGTGTGTGTGTAAATGTGTGTGTGGTGTGTGTATGTGTGTGTGCGTGCATGTGCAGTTAGGCGGAAATTTCATAAGAATATGTCCTAGGCTTATAAACTTGCTAGGGTGAGGGAGGATGTTCTCCAGTAAATGGACTGGTGAGAGAGTTTAAGCGACTTATTTGGGAGGAAATAGGGGGTCAGATTTGGTCTAAGTGGAACATCTGCAAAACATTCAAGCAGCTTATTCAACAAAGAATCTATAGCCATTTATTGTAGAAATAATAAAAAGCCACTAATGATTATGGTTCCCACCCCTTCCCCCAAAAGGCCAAATCCTAATGAAATAATTCAAAGGTAGGCCTCATTTCCTAATAGTGGAATTAAACAACAACAAAAAAGAGCCCAACTAAACTTTCCAGCTTGGCCTTCTTAAGGGCCTGGGAACCTTGCTGAGAAATTAGGTAAATAAAAGGCGAGTTGGAATTTCTGTTGAGCTGAGGCTGTAGTGCCCCGACTTGCACATAGTTCTGCCTTGATACGCAATTAAATTACAGTAAATTCCTCTTGAAATAATAAAATTTGGAAGACTCCTCAGGATTCGAAGATGTCTGGGGTTAAGTAGCTTTTAAAACGTCAGTTTTTAAATGGCTTGTGCAATGAATAGCTACCTTTAAATTCTAAAGCCATTATAAATATGCTATACATCTGGGTGCCAGTTTATCTCTCCATATTTCTTTTTAAAATGAGGAAAGCATTCATAAAAAGCTACTTGGCACACTTTATTTTAGGAAAGCAGATGTTAATTTTTTCACGTATCATTTTATGACCAAGTACATGTGTAACGTTGGAAAGCATCCAGAACGCCTCTATTATTTGCTAAATGACTGTTAGTTGAGGCATATTATTCTCAGCCTAACCACGGTACAGGTTACATCAATAAAGTAAACATCTGTGATTTTTTTTCTAACCAGGAGAGGGGGGAAGAAAGAGTTACTATAAGCGAGGAAGCGGGGAGAGTTTGGGTAGGAAGAGCACACCTGCGTTGTAGCAAATAGGATATTTATATTGTTCGGTGCAAAACAAAGTCCCTCAGTCAGGCACTCGGGGATATTTACATGGCGGGAGATAAAGTTGAAAGCCTTTTCCGGCGTGCCAAATGGGATTCTCCCAGTGGCCTTCTGTGTAGCAAGATAACAGGTACCGAGCGCTCCTGGCTGCGTCGGGCCTTCTCCCGCAGTCTCCCTATCCCTGCAAGCCAGCCCAGGCCCAGCCCGGGTTGAGCCAGGCACTCAGGCTCTAGGAATTCCCAGGCACCGCGGAAATTTCAGCGGGGTTCCCAGCCTAGAAATATGCTCAGGAAGCGTCCTCATTTGCCCTGTGTCGCTCGAGGACGCCGGCGCCCAGGATAAGCCAGTGGGGTGATAATTAATGGAATACAATATTTATGGTCCCATGTATTGACTCTGAGGCAAGCGCGCCCTGTAGAGTCCGTGGGGGTCTGACAAACAGGGGTGAGTGAACAAACATAATGACCGGAGTACTTATGTCTATCCCGTTTACTCACTTAAACCCGAGGTATGTAACATCACGATAAATATTAATATCCACCTCGACAGACCTACAGCACCGCTGTCCTCCTAAGCTCTCCCTTCCTGAGCGCTGGTCTTTACAAAAAGGCCAGAGAAGGGTTTTTTTTTTTTTTTTTTTTTAACTTTTTTTTTTTTTTTTTTTTTTTTTATTTTTTTTTTTTTTTTAACATTAAATGCTGCAAATATGAAAAATAGGTCACCAATAAAATTGGTCTCAGCATGGAGCGTAATTGCAACAAAGTGCCGCCGAGTAAAATCGAGGAGTGAGCTGGCTGAGGCGGCACAGTCGCGAACCATCTGGTGTGTATTAAGAGTGGTGCTGTAAATATTGCTGAGAGCTAATGCATTATCGGCTTCTATAAGTGCACAGGGCCTGTAAGCTTTCCATATGTTAGAATATGTAGATCGGGTGAGAGCAGGGAAAGGTGTCTTATCAATCACAGGCTTCTAAAGCATTGTTTTGCCCACTCTGTGGATTTTTGCCCACCCAACAGTGTAGGATATTCATTCTCATTCTCTTCCCCCACCACCCTTTTTCCTCTTCTCTCAATTCCTCTTTCCCTTTTCTCTTCCTCTTTCTCCAAGCTCCTTCCTTCCATCCCCTCCTCCTCTCTCCCTACTCTCCAAGGGGATAGGACAGGCATTGCTGACGTCACTTCACATCGGTAAAAGAGAGTAACTGTTTCAGAGGGAAAGAAAAAAAATCATCTGTTTTTCATCAGTACTAAAGTTTTGCCTCTTTAATAGAAATGGGCTGCCCAGTCTGAGTACTCCTTCTGTTCTGAAGCTTATAACCACCACTACTCCCTTTTGGGGGGGTGGCCCAAGAGGTAGGCAAGTGTTCTTCATCCTGTGAGCTGATTCATTTTATAAGTGTTTCTAAAGCCAGAATAAGCTCAAATAGATGAAACTAATTAAAATAAGGTGCAAAGATAATGTCTTCTAGAGAAGATTTCACATCTACACCTCCTAGACAACTTTTGTCAAGGAGGGTGGAGGGCTACTTGTTCCATGACTCTTCTGCTTTGAGTCCTGGAACTTCTTCTTTCTCTGGAGCCTCCCTCCATAATTCCACCCCCCACATACCTAACCGCCACACACAGCACAGCTAATAAATTTCCTGCTGTCACATTACTTTTCTGGGGAAAACAGAGTCCTCCTTTTCCTAATGGTACCCCACATCTAAGAGTTTACTATAATTACGCCTTCATTTCCTCTGAAACCCCCTTCACATATTCCTTAGCTACAAGTTTTTAGTCAAATCCAGTGCTGGGAAGTTTATTTACGTTGTCCCACAGAGATCATTTTCTCTCTCTCAAAATTGGCCTGGTCTCTCATTCTTCCTACTTTCCTTCTCCTTCCTTTTCTCCCCACCTCTCCCTCCTGTGCTCATATAGTACAAACCTCCAGCACTTCTAGTGTGGATAAACCTGCTGGTCATGACAACCCAAGTTCAATCAGCAAATAAATAAAACTCTTACTTTTCTTTTTTGGCTGCCGGCTGCATTCCCCCTCTGGCCGTTGCCTCCTTTAATTATAGGAGCTATATTTCTTCCCTGGGAGACATTCGAGGGGATTTTTAGTTGGAAACTCGTTTCTGCTGAGTTATTTTGGAGCCAGGACCAGTGAGTGAGTGGCCCGTACCCAGAGGCTTTGAGTGAAGTGCAGATTGAGACATATCGGGTTCCCTTTAAAAGGATCATTTCATGTGGGAGGTTGGACACAAAGTTTGCACTCGTGACTGGCATTCCAGTGAGAGACATGCATATTTTAAAACAACAAAGCAAGCTGGAAAGAAAGCTTGGGGGGGTTGGGGGGAACTTGGAAAGAAGTTACTAAGTGACAAACATCTGTCAACATGGGATAATTTGTACACTCCAGTGTAAAACTATCTGCCTAGTTTGATGGAGTTCAAGGAACAGGATCTGGGAGAGCAAAGTGGATACATATTTATCCCTGTGAGATACGTTAAAAGATGTTTTTTCCCCAAATAGGTGTAAAGTCATTAAAACTGCATGATTGAACATAATATTTAAATGCTTCTTACAATAATAGAGGTTTCTAAAATGGCATTTTTCTGATGGTTAATACAAAATTAGATCTATGTAATTTTAAGATGTATTTTATTTTTTAAAAATGGAGAGCAATAAAATAATGAGCAAGATCCTTATTACAGAAAATAAAATTAATTTTATCTTATAATAAAACAAGACCAAGAGAAAGAAAGAGGGGGAAAAAAGAAAGCTCAAACCACCCCTGGTAGCTATGTTCTATAAAGCTTTAACTAAAAGTACCAACTTTACATGCAACACATCTACCTCTCTTTGTGTCAACAAGGAAAAATGACAAAATATTTTCAGAGAATTTTTCTCTCCCATTTAAGCTTGAAGTTTCAATAAGCATATTACGCTTTGAGAGAAAAAGCAAAAAAAGTTCCCTCTTTAGGGGGAAAAGTTTTTAAAAGCAGTGAAAGATCAAGCAAGATCCTGGTATGTCTTTTTTTAGGCACTGAATCTCCAACAACCACATGTAAGTTCAGGCTCCAGCTTCCACCGAGAAATCTTTTTCTCCTCCAGATCTGAAGACAAAAGGAGAGGAGGCCTGGTGGTGAGCGGGATATCTCTGTTAGTTGTCAGCGCAGGTCCATGGGTTAGGAATGCTAATGAGCCTCTTGGCCAGCTGAAGACTTAGTTCTCTCTCTCACACACCCTGACGCTCACACACACTCGGGCTCCTGCATGCCGACTGACAAGCACACAGACAGAGCCTCCTGCACGACCCTGTCTCTCTCCTCTTTCCTCTGAGCCCAGAGATCGATCGCTGACCCCACGGTTGGGCCAACGCTTTATTTATCTGGCTGCGCAATGATATTATCAGCCTTAAACATTATATACAGCAAATGTCTTCCTAAATCAACACAATAGGATAGCTTGCAGAGACCAGCCTGGTCTTTCTTAAAGAAATCCCTCGCTATCTCTTTCTCTTTTCCCTCTCCCCTGTAGGCACCCCATCTCCCTTCCTTCTTTTCAGCTGGGGGTATTTTATATGCTGGACTTGGGGATTTGATCCCTTGCTTTCAGCTTGGTTAGAGGAGGCCTTCGCAGACCAGGAGATGGATAGACACCATTATCCAGCCATCACTGAGATCCCCAACAGGGGTTTCCCTGTCAGCCGGATCCAACTGCCTAGAGCCACTCTATTCACATGATCCGAATTTCTCAAAATTGGGGTAGAAGGGAAGGCGAAGGGTGGGGAATGGAGTGTGCAACCTTGCACCGTGTTAATTGTTTTCTTTCCTCTCAATTACATTCATAAACCTATTTTCTGCATTGCATGTTATTTCTTTGTGCTTCAAAATTGAAACCACGTGCAACTTTCTCCCCTCCGCACACACAATAAATGCGCTGCCCCCTCCCCCCAACCCATCACGCAACTGTTTACATCTTGGTTACTCACTCGGCGCTCCAGCCCCCGGAGAAGAAATTGGCCCCATGGGACTTGGTGAGGCTTTGTGAAAGCATCTCTCAAATCCGTTTGTCCGGCCCCCATTCTTGGAGAAAGGCTCCTGGATTCTCTTCCCGGGCCTCCCCCCAAACCCCTCCTCTTACAGGTGGTTGAGGCTTACACAGGGAGAGCTAGTAGAGAGGACATCCAGGGAGAAAGGCAGCTCCGCAGTGTCCGGGAAGGACCACTCACCACCCACCCTATACCCTGGCTGGCCTGCCAGCCGGGGTCAGCTGTGACCACAGGCGTGCCTCTGCCAGTCCCTGGTCCCCGTGTCCTGGGTGCACAGACCGCGTGCAGGGAGAGATTGTTCCCTGGAGAGCATTCCAACCCCAGGTTCTCCCAGGCAAAGAAGTCCCACCATAAATAAATAAATAAACTCCGAAGTGGGGAGGGGGAGCTGGAAAATGGATTCGCTGACAAGGAGAGATAATAAATGAGAGGCGCTTTCAGATAGATATCTCAGACGTGAAATTGCGCCCAGCTGGTTGTGTAAGCAAACAAATAGTTTCATGTTAGGAACTCTCAACTTGTGGCTTGATGAATAGGACACGACAGAGGTAAATGGGTCTTTAACTCATTTAGGAATACAACTCTTTGGCTTCCCAAGTAAAAGGCCCAGTGAAGCCACAGATCCTGAGCAGGCCCTTTAACAAGAGTTTTATTAGTTCCCACTTGTGTCCCCCTCCACTCCTCACTATCCTCATAGTCTGCTATTTGCAGAGACATTCAGGTGATTTGTTCTGAGGAATTGCAGAGCTCACAGGAGGCGATTCTGCCACTGTAGGAGTCGTAAGGAGTGCCTACGAGTGGAAGAAGAGAAGAAAGATTTTTAAAAATAAAATCCCCCCACCTCCCTACATGCTTCAAGCAGACAAGCTCAGGTGGACTCAGACAGAGGGGACTCCAGATCCCATTGCCCCTGAATGCAAAGCTGGGTGGTTGGGCCTCTTGTGAGCCAACCAAGACCCTTGTGGCTGCCAGAGGCCAAGAGTCTGGACCATCGGGAGTGGAGGGGTCCCCAAAGCTCATAGTTCTCCTGGTGGGCAGGAGGGATCTACATTCCCACCACAGGCTTCCACTCTGCCTGGTCCCAGGTTGGGATGTGCGTGTGGGGACAAAGTTCACACTTTCCCCCCCTAGTGTGAGTCCTTGTCCTCTGGCAGTGTATAAGGTGCAGACTCCTTCCCTAGCGATTCCCAGAGAAGAGCACAACCCAAGAGGGCCTTTCTGATGTTTTCAGCAAAGCTTGTGGCTAAGGTAGTTTAAACAGACTTCAAAGCCCCTAAAGTTCTCAGTTGTCCAGGAAGCCTTTGGATTAGAACAGCGAACGTTTCATTTTCCTAAGTCACTGGTGATTTCGACAGGGAAACCACCTAGTGTGGGCCACCCTCCAACTGTTAAGACGAATTGGCCCAGTTAGCCCAGCCCTACTCTCCTAACTCTTTAGGGCTGCCACCGCCCCTGCAGGCGAGGTGTGGCTGCAAGCCCACGGTGACTGCCTGGCCAACACCTGCTGGCGCCCTCAAGCCCCGGTTCCACGGCTCCCCCTGGCGCCCCACGTGAAGGTGGGCTCACTGCTCAGGAACTCTCTGGAGGCCACCCAGGCAGAGGAGGCTCCCAGCTACTCACCTCCCACTCAGGTCCTGGGCCACAGCGGCAACCGGGGACTGAGGAGGCACAGGACACTGAACCCAGGGCAGCCTGGCCTCTACTGGGGCCTGTCCCTCCGCACTGCAAGGAAACCCCTGGCCGCTCCACCTTCAGCCTGCAGGACTGGTCACTGTCAGCCCACTGCGTGTGGGAAGGGGGAGCCTTCGTCGCACATCGTCGGAGCTGATAGCAGAGGGTATTTCCCAGTTATCAGAAGGCTCGACTCCCAAATTTCTCCTTAGCACGTGGAGATTTCCGAGTCCTGTCTGCCCTCTCTGTGAAGGAAAGCCAAGGGCTCCTGCAACCTGTCCACCCTGGCAGGGACGTCCACATGACCCCTGATTCCAGGGAGGCTCTGTCTCTCTCTGGATGAGACACACAGAGACCTCTGGTCCTGGAAACAGTACTGTCTCTCTGTAGGTAATGCAGGCAGGGGCCACCCCAGTCACAGAAGAGGTAGAGGAGAAACCCACTGCGGGGAGAGGGGGTGGGGAGGACGGGCCTGTGGAGCACTGGAGAACCCTCGCCTCTCCCTTCCCCTCAGCCCTAGGGCCCCCTGCTCCTAGAGGAGCCCGGGCGGGAGGCTGGGCGGCCACAGAAGGGCCTGCACTTCTTCCTAGGCTGTGAGGGTGGGCCCCAGGCTTAGAAAGGTCGCTGAGATTCCCCAGGTCGTGGGCAAAGTTCCAGCCTCGAGGAGCAAGAGCCAAATTAGCACTGTCACCTCTGGACACTGGAGCAAGCGCGGGTGTACATCTTGGGCTACTGCAGCTGGCGGCCCAGTCTCCACACGGGGCGCCTTGCGCTTGGGCCTCCATATTGAGATTAATTGAAAAATACGTTTCCGACCTACGAAAATGTTTATCTGTTTTCATCAGAGGGATCACACTGTAATGAATATATTTACATCTCATTTCAAGAAAGGCAGAAAAGATCGCTGAGCTCTCTGAGGCAGCTCAGCTCCCCTCCCCCTCTGAGCCCTGGCTGCAGCCCACTCCACCCCAATCCCGATACCGCAGCCAGTGGCGCTCCCTGAGTCTTCTTGGGAGGAGGTTAACTTTGGGCTCTCCCCAACCCCTCCTGCCTTAGGTGTCCAACCTGCAGGGAAGTCAGCACAGGCCCAAAGACGTTGTTCCTGGGTGTGTTGCAGAGAAACAAGGGGCCCCAAGTGGCTCCATATCCTACCCGCCTGGCCGCCCTAGCTCTGGCCAGTCCCCAGCCTGGCCAGCCTGCGGATCATGGGCCTGCGGTGCCTTCTCCACAGAGAGTGCGGCACTGCCCATGCTGCGCTGCACCCAGAATATTAAAAACCACAAGCGGGTTGGAGTGTAGGAGCTGGTTAATGCATTTGGTGACGGTGAGCCGGGGGGTGCCGGGGAGGGGACGTGGCGACTTCTAGATAGCACATGGAAAGCAAAACATTGCCAGTGACTTCTGAAAGTGAAGCTCTTCCCTCATCCGGGCCTGTTTGGGGCTGAGGGAAGGGGGAGGGGTGAGAGGTGTTATTTAAAAAGATCTG